GATGCTTCTGAACTCTGGTGTTAGAGAAGACTCTTGAGAGTTCCTTGGAGTGCAAGGAGATCCAACCAGTCCATCCAAAAGGAAATCAGTCCTGAATATTTATTGGAAGGACTGATGCTGAAGCAGAAACTGTAATACTTTGGCCACCTGATGGGAAGAGCTGACTCACTGGAAAAGACCCTGATGCTGGGTAAGATTGAAGGCAGGTGGGGAAGGGGACGACAGAGGATGAGATGGTTGGATGGCATCACCAACTCAATGGACTTGAGTTTGAGTAAACTCTGGGAGTTGGTGATGGACAGGGAAGCCTGCGTGCTGTAGTCCATGGGGTCACAAAGAGTTGGACACAACTGAGGGAATGAACTGAACAAGCACTTCCTAGGTTTGCACCATTGAGTTCGACTACCTTTTGGATGTGTGACTAGCAGAATAACTCATCCAATAAGATATCCTATTGTGACAATATCTTTCTTAACACGGAGATGGCACAGAGGTGGTTGGTGAGAGACATGAAAAGGACAGGACAGATTTTCTCTGAAATATCCTAAGATTCCAAAGTGGGCAAGTAAAGTTTGAAAACAACAGTAAGTATGACTAATAAAATTTTAACCTAGAATTTTTAACCTAGTCAGAATTAACTGACTTCTACAACTGGGGTTTCTCCCTCAAACTCTCTGGTGATGCAAAGGCTTATCTTTGGGAGTATGTGTCTGTTAAGCTTCAGCCATCCATACATCATTTGCTTATGCCCTTTAATTAGGCTTGGGTAGGGGCCTTTTTGGTATTATATCAAAGGGCAGGCATATTCAATAAAATGTGGTATGTTTTTTATTGGGCCACACGGGGTAACAAAAAAGACAGAACAGCAGAATCAAGGGAGAAAGGTCAATTATCACCAAGAGATATTTTCTTATCCTTAGGAAAACATTTTTAGTTAAAAAAAAAAGTACTGAGCTAATGTTAAAACTATTTTTTTTAATTAACTCATCTCATAAAAGCACTCTTAAAAAACTCAACAGATATCCTCTAGTATATTTGATGGTTAAATAACACCAAGAAACTTAGATAAAATTAAATTTTTTCTCATATCTACAGCATCCTTAAGGGTTAAAAATTAAATATTACTAACAGATGGAAACTTTGAATACATTGGTAAAAACAAACAAAAAAAATCAATCATTAAAATGGCACGTGTTACCTGAAATGTTTTAATAAACAAAAAGGAGTTGCCCATGAAGAACAGAAATATGACTTACATATCAAACTACCAGTGAATTCCAAACAGATATTATAACAAAGACAAAATACAACGTTTACTAAACTGGTATATGCTAAATATTTTAGAATGTTGCCCGGTATTGACAGAGATATTAACAATAAAGAAGACAAAAGAATATTTAAATAACATGAGGGCACATAACTTATCTGCACTTACCCAGTGTCCCACAATGAGTAAAATCTGCCACTCCATGGTGCAATGTAACCTTGGAAGGAAAAATGCAAAGTAAATTTATTGGCTGTTTCATTGTTTTTATTGGTTTTATGTTTACTGATTATTTGAACTAATTTTAAGCTAATGGTAAAAGAACTGCCTTAAAAAAAAAAAATAGGTTACACTGTATTTCACACAGCTGGTCATCAGATAAAATAAAGTTAGTAATAGTAGTGTTAGTCACTCAGTCATGTCCAACTCTTTGTGATCCTATGGATCCTTTGTGATCCTCTGTCCATGGAATTCTCCAGGCAAGAATACTGGAGTGGGTTGCCATTCCCTTCTCCAGGGGGAGCTCTCTGACTCAGGGATCGAACCCGGGTCTTCTGCATTGCTGGCAGGTTCTTCACTGTCTGGGCCTTAGGGATCAAATTAAAAAGATACCCATGGACATTACATTTCCAAAGAAATAGAACAAGCTGACTGATAACACTGTTGACAGCTTTCTGATTCTTTTAAACCTCTAATTGACTAATAAAATAAAGATATTAAGATAGTACTGGATAATTTTAAAAAGTGAGAGGTGTCCAGTAGGCCTAATTTAGATCAATTACAAAGGTGATTTTAAACATTTGTGCCTTTTACTCCTGTCAATTAATTCTTCATGATTTTACGAGCTAAACTGGTTCATTAATTTGACATACCTTCAGAAAGAATTTGATTTGTTTCTAGGACTGGTAAAGTCAGGAAAAGAAAGTAACTTAGAATTCAGAAGCTGACTGAAAACTGATCTGGTTGGCTGTTTAGAAGCAGGAGAGAGAGTATATACACACTAGGGAGGGTAAACCTATGCCATTAACACCAGAAACTTGGAATTTTATACATTTTGGGCCTAATCATCTATCAAGAGAAGGATGCTTGAATGTGGATTTAGCAGAACCTGAAGCAACAAAGATATTGTTTAAAAAAAGAAGGAAATCTGTAGTGCTGTTCAGATTTTAGAACCTTTGACTTATTATTTTCATAATGTTTAAAAGAAAACAATAGCTGACCTACTAGGATAAATGGAACATGTATAAAATTTGCAAAAGAATTTACTTTTTGCAATGACCTAGAGACAAGGTTCACATCTGACAGGTGATGGCACCTACCTGTATAAGTCAAATAGATGACACTAAGGAACACAGCACCTGCGGCTAGTGACACACCCAAAAAGAACAGTGTTTGGAACTCTTGTTTTGTTAACCGGTCTCTCAGATACTGCAAGAAAGCATAAGCTTGCAGCAATGCAAAGACACCTAATTAAAGAGAAGGTTCATATAAGTAATCAATGAAGCATTTTTCCAAGAACATTGAGAAACATTTATTTGGAAGACTATTAGAATATCCTGTACAATTCAGTGATCTGACATTTCTTTTGTCAAATGACAGGTAACCACTTAATACATTTAAAAATTTCTGTTACATATTTTTTTTTCTAATACATGAACAGAGAGGCCTGGAGTGCTGCAGTCCTTGGGGACATGACTTAGCGACTGAACAACAATATATGGTTACTGTTCATAGCTGGGGTGGGTGTGTGTGGTTCAAGATTCTCACTGAAAATCTGATGATAAAAGCTATGGACCATCATCATCTCAGAAAGTTAAAAATACCGATATTTATAAAATGCTACGAACAAAATGACTACCCACAGATTTTCTATGGGTCATGGACCTTGTGTGGAAATCTCTGATAAAGTTTTATTCACAGATCTCTCATTATATCTTGTTATCTGTGACCCAGATTAACAATGGCAAAATGCTCTGCTTTAGGGAGAATTATGTGACTTTATAATCAATATAAAAGTCCTTAATTCTAGTTAGTAGGGATGGATAAAATATTTTAGTGAGATGTAAAGAACATAAAAATGAAATGTTCTATTCCACCTAAATTTGGCAAAATGACAACTCAGTAGTATAGTAACCCAGTATACAGATACATTACTATTTAATATTTGTTTATACAAAGCAAATGTTATTTAGTGTTGGCAAAAAAGGATGCTTTAACCTTCTCAAAACAGCCATACCTGGGAAGACAGGCACTTTCAGAAGCCCAATATCAGAAAGTCTCAATAAATTCTCCTGTCATATTTTACAGTGGTGATATTCATATTTTACAGTGGTGATGTTTTAGAACTAATACAATGAAAATTAGAAACAACAACAAAGCCCCAAAAGAACCCTCCATTTCACTGAAGATCAGTCAGTCATACATTCATGGATTCTTTAGAAGAAAGAACATAAATATTTTTCCTACCTGCAGCTGCCATGTGTTCACTTGTTCTGATTGGCTGGAATCCCACAAAAGGTATCTGCATGGATAATATCAGGCCCACAATATAGAAAGTGCTATATGCTGTAAAGACAAAATAGGAAACAAGGACAATTCACCATTACCATTAAGTACTTCAAACATAAATATATACATGATTCATATATTTTTTTTAACTGAAAAAGTTTTAACTGCACTTATTTTAATAGAATTTTGAAGTGACTATTCTATTTGATACATACTGGATGATTAATCAATCATACATTATAAGACATATAATTCTTTTCTGCCATTTTAAAAAAGTATTATTTTAAGAAGACTGGTGCTGTTTTCTTCTTCTGAAAATGGAATCAAATTTTTCCATTCTATCATTAACAATTGTTGACATGACCCAAGAAGCATGTAAACACCATTCCTATTAGCATTAACACAAAGTATGCATGACCAAATGAAAGCTTATCATCATCCTATATGAGTAGCTTGCAGTCTCAAAAGCTTTTAAGTACTTACAACCTTTTCATAATCTTTTTGTACAGTACGTTACCAGTTTTAACAAACTTTATGTCCATCTACTAGGTTTTCTATGATTAAAGAACAAAAGAACTAAGTACACAGAGGTCAAGTCATAAAACAGACTAGTTACAAATTTATTAGGATCTAATAAAGGAAACGTATTTGCTTTCTGCACTGAATATACTATGTAGTATTCTTGGTTTATATCAACCTAAGTGTATAGGCAAATTGGGGAGTGGTTACAGCTTGTATAAAGGATTTGTTTTTGCATTAAGGTATTCACATATCATTACAGTGAAGTATTTGGAATAGTCGTAAATAAAAATTAATTTGAAAGAAAGTTAAAATTCTTCTGAAATAAGTAAGTGTGAAAAATATTCCATTTATAAAGCTTATTATACACATCACCTCGTGAAGGCTAGTCAATATTTAGTGCTTGGCAAATAAAGTACTCTACTAGGAAGAAAGACTGCAAGAGAACGGCTCAGCAGAAGTATCTGTATGCTCCACACTGTACAGCAGAGCGTACACTTCCCTTCACCCAGCTCAGCTGAGAAAGAACACTCATTCACTTGGGTTTCTTTTAACAGTGAGTAAGCGTTCTTTCTCAGCTGAGCTGGGTGAAGGGAAGTGTATGCTGTGCTGTACAGTGTCTGATCACGGATGACCACAGTATTAGGAAAAGGCTAAGAAGCTTAAGTGAATGTAATAGGAAGGACCAATGTATAAAGCTTCCAAGCTAACAGAGAGCTGGCTGTCGAGAGGATCCCGAGGAACAAACTCATCCAACAATGTACTTTCCAGACACATTAGTGTTGGACTAGATATGTGAACGCAAATGCAATAAAAGTATGAACAAGAAATTCTATGTCACATATATTTGAACTGCCAACCATTTTGGTTGATGGTGTTCAAATACCAGTATGTTTCTCTTACAAATCAGTCTGTGTAGATTCCCAAAGAGTCAAGGAGGCAGAATTAGGGGAAAAAAATGGGAACATGGTCATTTTGTGACCTTGAAGAACTGTTGTTGTTATTCAGTCACTAAGTCCTGTCCAACTCTTTGTGACTCCATGGACTACAATGTGCCAGGCTTCCCTGTTCTTCACTGTCTTCTGAAGTTTGCTCAGATTCATGTCCATTGAGTTGGTGAAGCTATTCAACCATCTCTCCCTCTGCTGCCCTCTTCTCCTTTTGCCTTCAATCTTTCCCAGCATCAGGGTCTTTTCCAATGAGTTGGCTCTTCACAACAAGTGGCAAAATTATTATCCGTCCCTCCAACGAATATTCAGGATTGATTTTCTTTAAGGATTGACTGTTTGCTCTCCTTGCAGTCCAAGGGACTCGCAAGAGTCTTCTCCAACACCAAAATTCAAAAGCATCAATTCTTTGGTGCTCAGCTTTCTTTATGGTCCAACTCTCACATCCACACATGACTACTGGAAAAACCATAGCTTTGACTAGACAGACTTTTGTCAGCAAAGTGGTATCTCTGCTTTTTAATACACTGTGTAGGTTTGTCATAGCTTTCCTTCCAAAGAACAAGTGTCTTTCATTTCATGGCTGCAGTCACTATCCACAGTGATTTTGAAGCCCAAGAAAATCTGTTACTGTTTCCACTTTTCCAGGTATATGCAAAAAGAGACTAAATCTGCTAATACTCTCATTTCAGTGGTTTGATGCAGCTACACAGGCATTCACTGCCATTAGGTAAAGAAAACTCTTTATAAAGAAGTGGTACACTAGAGTTCAAGTTAATAAAAAAAGTGATGGAGATGGGTTCAAGAAAAAGAAACTCAATCTCAAGAAACATAAAAAAGGCCAGGTGGGACTTTAACTTGCAAACACATTACTTTGTAAATATGAGTTAGTGTCAAACAAATCTCAACTAACAGAAACAGACAAGTTCTCAACAATATTTTACCTACAAATATTCCTCTATCCAAACTAATCTCATTTATACCTGCTTATGTGCACTGATGATTCAAAGCTAATAAACGTGATGTATGCAATAATCCGACGATAACCGTTTTCTTTTAAGAGAACTTGGTTCCTGTCTTCCCTATTTTTATCTTTTTTTGGATCAGTGATAATGAGATGTTTACATAGAGGGATGTATGCTCTTCTACTTCATAGTACTCTTTAACACACAAATATTTCCATTGTTAAAGGCCCCAAATGGAGTCAACAGTGCTGAAATTCAAGATTCAATACCGAATCCTAACTGCAGTCACAACCTTCCCCAGGAATACTATTCTACTAGGTCAGCATGGAATGTTCTGTCAGCACAAATGAGGTAATTCTTTCTAACTCCCACTGCCCAAAGAAAGAGGAGGGAATCTACCACAAAGACCCTTTCTCTCCCCATAGGTAGGTTACCTAGGCCTGAAAGGCTCTTTTGGTTACAGATTCCTTGTCTTGCCTATAAAAATCTTTCCCTTACTGTGGTTTTTTGGAGCTCCTTTCTACTTGGCTACATTAGTGATGCTGTCCAACTTATGAATCATTAATAAAGCCAATTAGATACTTAAAATTCACTCAGCTGAATTTTGTTTAAAAAAATTCCAAGTTCATCTTGCTTAATACTGCCCTTCTTCTTGAACCTGTAAAATTAGACACACATCACCATACCTCATTTTAAATCCCATTTACAAACCCATGTTTTAAAACACAGAAAATAAGAATTAGAAATACGTATTAAGAAACAGTGAAACTGGAAGAAATAGTGAAGTAACCCTTAATTCTTAAACATAAACCATTCTCCAATGCAAAATGAAAACATGTTTTTCTTGAGTCTTTGTACTATGTTTAAAAATTATCTCTTTAATTCATTCAAATATTAAGTTATGGCCTATTGTGGTCAAGACATTCTAAAAATACAATCCGACCTTCTAAGAATCAGATATCCAGTTTGGAAAATCAAAGACGTACACAAATTACCGCAATACAATGGAGCAAGTACATGCGACATTGGTGGAAAAAAACCCTGGCTCTGTAAGAGCCAGGCGAGAGGACGGCGAGAGCTCTGCTTCTTGACCTGGACATTGAAGAGGCACATAATACCACCTGAACCATTCTCTGACATTCTCAGAACCCTCAACAGCACACTCACAGAGCAATCATTCTCCACCAGTTCTTCCTCCACACTCTGAAACTTGATCAAACTGTGCTCTACATCTTCACAACCTTCTATCCATCTATCTTAACCTACTTTCTTTTTACCCTTTAAACCAGAATAAAGCTCTCTTTCCATCAAAGCAGTGAGTTCTAAGAAAACAAACAAGACCAAGAGTGTGGTAAATCATTACATCATGACAATGTTACCACACTGCCATCCTGTGGAAGTATAGTTACTGGCAATTTACTCCTGCAGATCAAACTTCCAATGTGTTAGAATTCCCCTCCAATTATCATTAGGAAGATATATACAAAGTCTGTTAGCTTATTTTTAAACAAAGAAAATCTCTTTGATTTGGGACAAATAGTAATCTTCTAAAACAGAATTTAAACATCTTTTCACTTTTACAGTACTTTTTCTCCCCCAAGGGTATTGGGTGGGACTAGATTGATACAGAAAAGAACCAAACCACTGTTCTTGGCTTAAGGTGCACAAATGAGCTGGTCTGTAAAATAAAAGGCACCAAAAGGCCTGATTCGAGTACCAGAGAAATGCCCAGTTTTAATACAAGCTCTTGCTGTTCCCCAAAGTAGCCTTTAAGTACTTTCTTTCTCCCTGACAAAGCATCACAACTTAAGTTGACAGCACCCTTCATGCTTTTAAAGTACTACTGTACATCCCTTTATGTAAATAAAGTTAGAAAAGGTTTTGTGAATATTATATTCCAGTTAACTCTAATCTACCATGAAATCACCTTAGCATTCGCTCTATCTCCTGGGTGATATTTAATAGAAAGGGCTGGCAAAACACTCCTTTCCCGTTTCTTCTCTCTCAACCACAACAGCACTAACCAAAAGAAATAGAAAATACCTGAAAACTCAACCAGTTTTGCTTTATTATTAATAAATATGATTAAAGGCTTATAAGACTGTTGAAATCTGATTAATAAAGATATTTTACTGCTTGATTACTATGAATGCTGATAAATAAAAGGAGTGAAAGATGGGAAGAAACATACATGATATTATAGCTTATAAGACCCTCCCCCCTCCCCCGCAAAAAAAAGACAAACAAAAACCCTCCACAGATTCTTCTTGACCAGCAGACAGAAATATAATGACTAACTTAACAGACACACAAGAGAAAAAATAATTTTTCTTTCTCAAGGATGTTGTTCATTATAAATTGTACTGAATGACTCTTTTAAACTACTATTTTATAAGCTCTATTTGTAAAAGTAGGAAGAAGTGACTTGTGCAAAACATTTGAATGGAGACACAATGACAATTTTTAAAAATAGCAAATATACCTAGTACTGATACTTAAAATAAAGCCAAGCACAGGATAGCAGAAAGAACAACGAAGAAATATAACTTAAAAGTGTAAAATGATGCTCCTTGGTAACTTCTAGAGCTAAATAGAAATGAGGAGGGTAGGGAAGTTAGACTTTGCTAATCTAACTTCACTTCCTTTAGCTCTTCTTCCTCTTCCTGATTCAGGGGCATTTCACAAAGGTCTATCCCTCAATCGTCTCCCTAACTCTGTTTTCCTGACCATTACATTTTTAGGGCGCTACATTTTAAAAATTAAACAAAGAAACTCTCAGTTCTTCCCCATCACCACTTGATTTAAAAATGTTTTTTCCTTATACTGTTCCAAAACAAAAAGCTCGGAGTTATTGTTTAACCCATCATCTTCTTTTCTGGATTCCAATGCTGGCTTACAGTGTTTTCTGGGTAATGAGATATATATCAACATATTTCCACAGTAAGGTATTTATTTATATGGTAGGCAACACAGTTACAGTGATTTTTTGCATTACAGAGTATGGAGCCAAACTATCTACATTTAGGCTTCAGCTCCATTACTAGCTATATGATCCTGAGCAAATTATGTCTTCTCTTGTTTAAAGGACCTATCCTCAAGGCAAGGTTATAAACAGTAAATGAGTTCAATACATGCAAAGAACAGTTCATGGTGTATAAGAACCACCTGATACATACATATGTACTATTTCAGTGGTGATTGTTATCAAGTATGCTGAAGTGGGTATAAACCTAATTAGCAGATAATAATTTTTTTTTAACTGATATAATACATACTAAAAAAACCCCACCCCTTTAAAATGTACCACTGAGTGGTTATTATAGTCACAAAGTTGTGTGACTATCACCACTATGATTATAGAACACTTCTCCCCCCCCAAGAAGAAAGCCTGTATCTATAAGCTGTCACTCTAGTCCCCAAACCCGTGGCAACCTCTAAACCAACTTTCTGTCTCTAACCTGCTTGCTGTCTTTATGGATTTGCCACCTCTGGACATTTTATACAGAAAGAATCCTACAATATATGGCCTTTTGTGTCTGGTTTATTTTATTTAGCACAGTGTTTTCAAGGTTCATGATGTAGCACATATCACCTTTATTCCTTTTCACTGCTGAACAACATTCCACTGTATGGATACACCACACTTTATCCATTCATCAGTTGATGGACATTGGGTTGTCTTCAGTTTTTGGCTATTATGAATAACAAATGCTGCTACGAACATTAAAAGTTTCTGTGTAAGTATAGAATTTTCAATTCTCTTGGGTATATACCAAGGAGTGGATTTGTGGGTCACAGTAACTTTATCATTAAGTTTTTGTAAACTGCCAAACTACTATGTTTTTTAATCAAGTAAACGACTTTATTATTTTTGTTAGTTTTCCAGTATTGTTATAAAAGAATTATATTACTGTATTATAAAGACACTGGTTTCAGATGACAACTTCTCTGTGATTAATACAACCTATAAAAATTCTGTCTCTATCATAGACAGTGAGTTCTAAGATTCAAGACACCATCTATTACTAAGCATTTTATTCTAAAGATGTGTTCTAAAACCTGCAGAGCAAATTAAAATGTTGCAGAGAAAACACTCAGTCTACACTATGGTCTGCATGTTTATAATAAACCCAATGCCCAAGGAAAGGGTATTAGGAGGCAGCCTTTGGGAAGTGATTAAGTAATGAGGTCACCAGGGAACAAGTACCCTTAAAGAGGCCCCGGAGAGCTGGCTCATTCCTTCTACCATGTGGGGACAAAGAAGGTATCAAGCTAAGAAACAGAAAAAGAGCCCTCAGAAGAATGTGAGCATTCTGGTGCCTTGATTTTAGACTTTCTAGCTTCCAAGTTGAGAAATAAATTTCTCTTGTTTATAAACTATCCAGTCGGTGGCATTTTTGTTATAGCAGCTTGAATGGACTAAGATAGCGTGCTGCATATTATTCAGAAAGGGTTTTCAAAGGCTTATTAAACTGTTAAGGATGTTAAGGATGCTCAGTCTCTTTCAGGGAGTAAGGTGAATTAGAATAGTGTGTATATGTGTGTATATATAGTGCAATAGTGTGTTTATAGTGTGTATATCATTTCCCCCCCCCAAAAAAAAAAAAAAGACTGATAAATATTAAGTCAAGACTTATTTCTGCAAAAACTAAACAAACTCATTAAGGTAAAGTTGATGATAACACACTTTGGTGAAAATGCCTAACCCTCCTTATTAATATAAAAAAGCAAAACATTGTAAAATTAGCTTTATTACTCATGGGTAATACCAACCAAACAGAAATGTCTGACAATGAAAGAATGTATACGAAACACCTCTTAGGAGTTGACAGATATCAGAAGTCAAATCACTTACCTATGTAGACTCTTTTGCTGTATCTCTGCATCAGTAACAACACAAATACATGCAGTGGAATAAGGTTGATAATAAACACATAACCACCCCAAGCAGAGACCTATGAGTAAAGAAATGCTAAGTTAAATAATTTACATATTTGCTTCTTAAAGTAGATAAATTCTGCCATAAAAGTCTAAACACAGAGTAAACACTAGGATTTTCAGCAATTTTGAGATGCTTCAAAATAAACTGTTTTGTCTATTACATACAAATAACCTACTTTTAAAAAATTTTTTATTGATAATTAAAACAACACAATCCCATAAATTCAATACACTTTTCTATATCCACTAGCTGCTGCTGCTAAGTCACTTCAGTCGTGTCCTACTCTGTGCGTCCCCATAGACGGCAGCCCACCAGGCTCCCCCGTCCCTGGGATTCTCCAGGCAAAAACACTGGAGTGGGCTGCCACTTCCTTCTCCACTATATCCACTAGGGGAATGGTCAAATTAAATTAAGCTTACTAAGAACACTGAGAACAGTTTGTGAATTGGCAATAAAAAGACTCACAGAGACAGAGACTTTAGAATACATAAACTTTCAAAAGCAAAAAACCCTTTGCTCGCCCCCATTTTTTATGGTAAATACATTGCAAGAGACTTCACAGAGAGTAAGAACAACAGATGTTAACATCAGTCAACACCTCAACTAAAAGGAATACTCAGATGATCTGTATATGCTTTGTGATCCTCAAGATAAAAGGTGGTACCTTGGGTATAAATTTCTTCCTACTAATGGATACAAACCAGGATCCCAGTTTAATGTTTAGCCTGTATCACAAAGCTAGAAAAATTCTATTTATCAGACAACTGAGTACGTTCTGGTCTAAATTAATAAAGATCCTAAAGATTATGCTTATTCCAAACCAACAGAATTTATTATTTTTTTAAGAACATTCAATTCAATAACAATAATAAGGTCTGTCAAGATCAAAGTTCTTACATGTGCTCTAATAATGAAAAGCTTGATAGAACCATTTGAATCAACAGTCACCTTAGGAGACTATATGTTAACATACATTATAACAATGCTATCTATCCCTGTCTAAAATATTTCAGAACCACTTATATAAGAAATTGCTTTTTGTTTACAATTCATACAACAACATCAGTTTACTGCTTCAGTCATGTGCTATTTTCTCATCAAAGACCACATTCCTCTGGTTGAGCTTCAGTTCTACCGGAAGGACTTCTGGTTATTTCTAAAATTTAAGTCTAAACTTAAAAGACAGTTATTGCTATTACTGAGTACAACATGCCTAGGACACATTAATTAGGCACATAATATGTCCTAACCTTTAACGACTTTAAAAGGGGCATGGATAATTTGGAAACACAAATTCCATGACATTTGTTTAACAACCAAAAAAAAAAATTACCTAAGATTATCATTTATTTTCAGCATAAGAAAACTATATAGGCTATGGTGTGAAAAGAAAGGCAGGAGATTAAAGAGGTGATACTGAATTCCAATCTTAAGTAACCTGTCGAAAAAATTATACAGGTAGTACACAGGTTAACCCAGAGAATGTGACCATTATTTACAAAAAGTTGTACATCTGAAAGAAAAGTTTCTGTTTTCACTTGCTGCAAATATTATGTTTGAGAGGTTGAGTATTAGTCCTCCATCACCCGTAAAGTAGAAGTCCATACAAGACCCTGAAGACAGGAGTAGGGAAGAAAGTGGTAGTAAGCAAAGAGAATGCGTTAAATAAAAAGGAAGTGGAGAACTGCCCTAGCTGAGAAGAGAAGGCACTGGTCTAGTTGCCAAAGTCTCAGACCTCGTGTATTCAGTTTCAAGTATGAAATCTTACCATATAGAAATACGACAAGCAGCAGCACATCGTCCAAAAAACTGACCCAGTTTTTACAGATTTTACCTAAAAAACAAACAAGCAACTGATATATAAAACTGTTTATAAATGTTCCTGTTGATTGAAAAAAGGTTAAGTGTTTAGTAAACTTGTATTATAAAAAGTGAAAGCTATTCTTTAAAAAGGGTAATGAGATTACACAGATACTTAGATCCACTTATTAACATGGGACAGTAGTCAGACATTTTAGGAGTAGCTTCCTTTTTTTTTTTTTAAGTTATGTAGTTTTTAGTAAAAAGAATCATATCAAAAGGAACAATGTATATTTTTCCATTTTTTCTATTTTCTATCTTAAAATGATTACTATCAACAAATTAAGATTTTGAACTAAAGAATAAATTTGTTTAGTAACTCCAAATTTTTATATGGCAGGTTTGCTTAGACCTAACACCTTAATCTGTGGTTTTTCTTCATCTGAATGTGATCATCTATATATCATAGTATTAATTATGAACATTCATTTTTGAAAACTAATTCAGCTAGATATTTTAAGACACCACAATCAACATCTTCATTAAGTTTATATTCTTAAATTTCTAGAAGACCTAATGTCAGTAAAATTCTCAATACTCTCAAGTGGAAAGACAACGTTCTGTAACAAAGGTTTAAGAAGTTGACAAATGTCTATGGCCTAAAAAGAAACTAATCAAAGAGTTTATATGTTCGTCTGAAAGAGCAAAATACATCAGCACCCTCAGAAACAGAATTTAAAATTTTAAAAGCATAAGCTCTGAATACTTATGCCAAGAGCAATGGGTCATCTTTAAGATGAATCAAGTGAGTGTCCTAAAGAAATGATAGACCTAAGGCCCATTATAAGCAATCCTGTATTAAGAGCTATCTTTATGTCCTGATAAGAAGGAAGTTCAACTTAACAGTATTATACAGAAGTAATTTCAAGGAATTCTTTATTTTCAAAATGGTCTTCTATTAGTACATTAAAACAAACCACAGGTGACATCAATCTTTGAGGAAATTTTAACAAAAAATGAAGGGAAAGAGGAAGAAAAGAGAAAACATTCCTATTTCACAGCACTTAGAGCTGCCTGAGACTTATTTCTAATAGACTATGAAACACTGCTCGGAATTCAATGTTACAGTGCAAGTGTATGCCAAAATATACTCTGATCTCCTCCCCCAAACCATGCCAACTTTGAAAAGGTTTCCCTTTGGACAGGGTAAAATAACATGGGTCCTATTCTAAAATATGAGTGGGCAGGGAATATATTAAAATATTAAAAAATTTTTAAGTGAGAAAATTACAATCTAGAAGTTTGTTTTACAACTTTATTTACTGAAAGCCACTGAACTGTGTAATTTGAAAGACCATATTTTACAGTATTGTAAATTACTTCTCAAAAAAAGTTTGTGCAGTGAAGTTAAAATAGTGCATAAAGGGAAACTGCTTATATTAGAAGTGTATGAGTGCTCAGCTGTGTCTGAATCTTTGCAGCCCTATGGACTACAGCCCACCAGGCTTCTCTATCTGTGGGATTTTCCAGGCAAGAACACTGGAGTGGGCTGCCATTTCCACTTCCCAACCCAGGGATCAAACCCAGATCTCCTGAGTCTCCTGCACTGGAGGTAGATTCTTTAGCACTGAACCACTACCTGGGAAGATTCCTTACATTAGAAGAGATGATCTCAAATGACTAATATAATGATCTAGAAAAATTAAAGCAAAAACTGAGAAATAATAAAAAGAGATACCATGTTCTTAGATGACTCTCAGAAGTATTATGCTGCATGAAGTAAGTCAGACATAAAGGGCCACCCCAAACTGTTTATTTCTATAACATGGCATTCCAGAAAAGAAACTCCCAGAGATAATATAGACAGAAATCAGATCTGTAATTCCAAGTAATACAATTTAAGGACAAGGCTGATTACAAAGGCAGAGGAAGAAACTTAAAATCCCACAACTATAGGATGCAATATGGTGAGAAGTATAGTTCTAAGTACTATTCTATCTGCATTAGTTCTATTTTTGGTGATAGTAACAATGGAAACAAACATGTACTCATCTTTCTGTGTTCCTACAATGTTCTGTACCTTTAAATGAATTAGCTAGGAAAAGGAGTACATCAAGGCTGTATATTGTCACCCTGCTTATCTAACTTATATGCAGAGTACCTCATAAGAAACGCTGGGCTAGATGAACCACAAGCTGGAATCAAGACTGCTGGGAGAAATATCAACAACCTCAGATATGCAGATGACACTACCCTTATGGCAGAAAGTGAAGAAGAACTAAAGAGCCTCTTGATGAAAGTGAAAGAGGAGAGTGAAAAAGTTGGCTTAAAGCTCAACATTCAGAAAACTAAGACTATGGCATCTGGCCCCATCACTTCATGGCAAATAGATGGGGAAACAGCAGAAACAGTGGCTGACTTTATTTTTTGGGAATCCAAAATCACTGCAGATGGTGATTGCAGCCATGAAATTAAAAGACACTTGCTCCTTGGAAGGAAAGTTCCAACCTAGATAGCATATTAAAAAGCAGAGACATTACGTTGTCAAGAAAGGTCCATCTAGTCAAGGCTATGGTTTTTCCAGTAGTCATGTATGGATGTGAGAGTTGGATTATAAAGAAAGCTGAGTGCTGAAGAATTGATACTTTTGAACTGTGGTGTTGGAGAAGACACTTGAGAGTCTCTTGGACTGCAAGGAGATCCAACCAGTCCATCCTAAAGGAGATCATTCCTGGGTGCTCATTGGAAGGACTGATGTTGAAGCTCAAATTCCAATACTTTGGCTACCTGATGCGGAGGGCTGACTCATTTGAAAAGACCCTGATGCTGGGCAGGAGGAGAAGGGGATGACAGAGGATGAGATGGTTGGATGGCATCATCGACACAATGGACATGGGTTTGGGTGGACTCCAGGAATTGGTGATGGACAGGGAGGCCTGGCATGTTGCAGTTCATGGGGTCACAGAGAGTCAGACACGACTGAGCGACTGAACTGAACTGAAACCATATGAGGTTTGTTTTTTTTTTTTTTTACTTTGCATCAGGATTTCATTTTTTTTTTTTTTTTTTTACTTTGCATCAGGATTTCATTTTTGCTTTATATCCATTACAGTGTTTGAAACCTAAAGAAATAAATTTCCTCCTCAAATGTGGATATGTATGTAAGTATCACTTGTCTTTCATTTTATAACTGATGAAATAGACATGCAGGAGGTTTAAACAACTCCGAGTGATAGAACTAGAATTCAAAGAAAGAGGAAGAAGATCCAAGAAAAACAAACACTGAAACAAACTATATTTGAAACTATAATCAAAGACAGCTTTCCAGAAATAAAAATTAACAATATACTGTGTTGAAAGGGTTTACCATTACCAGGAGTATCAACTTGGCGACATTTCTTAGGAAATCTATTAGATTTCAATGCTTTATAGGTAAAAGCTCATTATTTCTTCAGAAAAAAAAAAAAAGATGTTTCTTATCAAACACATAAAATTAGGTTAACAATAAGAAGCAAAATGATGATAGTACAACAATTTCAAAAATTTCAAGTAAAGAGCAAATGACCTACACCTTTCTATCTAGCCAAACTCTCACATATGAGACTAGTGATACCATGTATAAAAAAATGTGTAAATGACATTAAAATACAAAATACTATATATTAGTATATAAAATATATTACATACTTAATATATAATGCATAACAAAAGCCATATATGAAAACTACACTGAATATACTCAATGGTGAAAGACAGAAGTTTTTCCTCTATGACCAGGAAGAAGACGAGGATGCCTACTTTCACCAACTCTATTAAACACAGCACTTAAGGCCTACCCAAAGCAATCAGACAAGAAAAATAAATAAAAGGAATCCAAACTGGTTGGAAAGAAGTAAAATCACCCTTGTTCACAGATATGTTCTCATATGGAGAAAGTCCCTTCCACAAAACCTGCCAGAGCTAACAAATGAACTCAGCAGAACAGCAAGATACAAGTCAACACAGGAAAAATAAACAAACCCCACTGCATTTCTATATACTAACAAATAGAAATGCAAGAAGGATATTATAAAAAATTTCCAATAGCATCAAAAAGAATAAAATTAATGAATTAAAAGAATTGTATGATGAAAACTGTAAAACACTGTTAAAAGAAAATAGAAATGGAAACACCCCATGATTATTCATGGACTGGAGGATGACAATACTAGCAAAGTAATCTACAGAGTCAATGTAATCCATATCAAAATCAGATGTTTTTTTCTTTGCAGAAGTAAAAAACCCACCCTAAAATTCATATGGAATCTCAAGGGACCCCTAGTAGCCAGAGGAATCCTGAAAAAGAACAGAGGACAAACACCCCCTGATTTTAAAACTTACTACACGGCTAAAGTAATCAGTATGGTGTTGGCATGAAGACATGTATATACTGATAGGTCAATGGAACAAAATAAAACACTCACAAACAGACTTTTGTATATATGGTCAAATGGTTTTCAATAAGGGTGCCAAGTCTTTTCAATGGGGAACCACAGTCCCTTCAGAACAGTGCTGAGCAAACTCGACATCAATGTGCAAAATAATGAAGTTGGATGCTTACCTGCATATACAAAACCTAACTCAAATAGACCTAAATGTTAAACCTAAAACTGTAAAACTTTTAGAAGAAGCTACAGGGCAACAGCTTCATGACATGGGATCTGGCAGTACTCTCTTGGATAAGACACCAAAGGCACAGAAATAAAAAATCACAGACAAACTGGACTTCATGAAAAATTCAGTTATTTGGTGACTCAAAAGGCAAGATCAACAGAGTGAAAAAGGCAAACTATAGAATGGGAGAAAACATTTGCAAATCATGTATCTTATAAGGGATTAATATTTAAAATGTTTCGAGAACTCCTAAAACTCATCAATCCAAAACCAAACAATCCAATTCAAAAATGGGCAAGGAACTTGAGTAAACATTTCTCCAAAGATACACAAATGGCCATTAACCACATGAAAAGATGCTCAACATCACTGATTAGAAAA